GAAGAAATCTCAACTGACGCTTCAACTTCAGTTGAGGTGCTCTGGAACAAGTTTAAGTGCATGGTACTTTTCTGTATACGTAACTACGTACTCTCAAAAACAAAAAAATCTAGCGGTTCTAACCCATAGATTACCCACGAAATTATATACGCTAAGCGCAAAGTTAAGAGGCTTGGGAAATCACTAAAATTACGACCTTCACTTTTTACCAAGACTAATATAAACACTGCAATTACAAACATGAAATTAAAAATTAGGTCTGCTAAAAATAACTACTTCTCAAACACTCTCCCTAAGTTTCTGAGCACTGTCCCTCGAAAATTCTGGGATCCCATAAATCCGAAGAAACAGGATGAAAACATTGCATCCTACAAAGATAACCTTAGCCTGGCACACTTGTTTAATGATTACTTCCAGTCTGTCTTCACCTCTGACAACGGACGAAAGGACCTTTTTATCGAACTATGCATTCGTGAACCAGTAGAAGCCTTCTCATTAAGCCCACAAGGAGTTAAACCTGTTGCTATATTTGAACACAAGAAAGGGGATGGGGCCAGACAACATCCAGAATACTTTTTTTGAAGCGATATGCCGAAGGATTATCCAAGTATCTGAGCATTATACTCAAGAAATCATTGGCCTCGTGCTCTGTTCCTAGAGTGAGGAAAACAGCCAAAGTGCACAAATCCCTGTGCACAAATCTGGAATTAGGTCCGATGTTACAAACTATAGGCCCATCTTCCTTACATGTACAGTATGCAAGCTTATAGAGCATATAGTATTAAAACACAAAACCGCATACGCTGAACACCACTGCATTTTATCTCCATGTCAGCATGGTTTTCGTAGAAGGCACTCAACAGTAACACTAGTTGAATTATTGCATGACGTGTCGCTGGCTATTGACAGAGACAAATAGACTTAGTACTGCTAGATTTTACCTAGGCATTTGACTGCGTGCTTAATAGAAAGCTAGTCTTGAAACTTTTTTTCATTTTGGGTAACAGTCCTATTGTTCGTTGGATACAGGACTACTTAACTATTGGCAACAGTTTGTGCAAATTCATGATGCAGCATCCTCATCACAACCCTTCACATCAGGGTACCGCAGGGCAGTGTTCTCACACCTGTGTTATTTCATTTGTACATAAATGATTTACCGTCTGTAAGCAATGTAACATTCTGACACTTTGCAGATGACTGCATCTTATATCGTGAAATAAAATTCATCATCATATAAAGAGACACTTAACAAAGCCCTAAGCCGTGTTCTTTAATGGTGCCAGGAATTGCAAGTGAAGATTAACATAAAAAAGTCTGCAGTACTCTCAGTAACTCGTAAAAGGTGAAATCTGACTTCAACTACACAATCAACGGCATTACAATTCAACAGGTTAAAGCACACAAATACTTTGGACTGACACACTCACACGATCTCAGGTGCGAAATCCACATGAAAAACATCACTTCATCAGCCCTAAAAAGGCTTTTTGTTCTTAGACATCGACTGCGACTCGCACCATCTAAAACAAAGCTACTGGCCTTCACTACACTAATTCAACCAAAGCTAGAATATGCCATAGTCGCGTGGTTTCTCATACCAAAACACTTCTATTTCAACTAGCAGGCATACAATAGAAAGCGATTCGCTTTGTGTTCAACAAATACAAGAGTACAGATTCACCAACAGAACTGCTAAAGGCCCCGCCACGGTAGTCTAAGGTACTCGGCTGCTGACCTGCAGATTGCGGGATCAAATCCCGGCTGTGGCGGCTGCATTTCCGATGGAGGCGGAAATGTTGGAGGCCCGTGTACTCAAACTTGGGTGCACGTTAAAGAACCCCAGGTGGTCCAAATTTCCGGAGCCCTCCACTACGGCGTCTCTCATATTCATATGGTGGTTTTGGGACGCTAAACCCCACAAATAAATTAGAACTGCTAAAGCAAGCTGGATTACTAACCATAGAAAACAGAGCTAAAGTAGCGAGACTAAAGTTTCTATTCCAATGCATGAATGGAGACATTAAGATTGATAAAAAACCAAGTTCATCTAATTAAACACTACAAGACCGAAGAGATAGATACACTCCCAAACATTGACTGAATACTCAACCAACACAAACTGTCTAAAAAACTCTTATTTTCCTTAAGCAATAAGAGAATAGAATGAACTAGATAAATCAATAACTAATACAAAGTCCATAAATGCATTTGTGACATCATTACAAAACGCTCTCATTACCATGTAATTGCAATAGCCCTTTCATCTTTGTACTTTTTGTATTCAAAATTTGCTCTTGTAGTCTTCTCAATGCATCTACGCAATACAAGCATCACGCAATTTTTTCTCCTCATCTTATGGTTACACGTATACCTACGATGTCTTTTTGCTTATGATGCGAAGTACTTCAATTTTCAGTACTTAAGCCACACTGGTTCGCAGTAGACGTTATTTGGATGATATGCAGAGTGCCTAGTACTAAGGAACTATGTATTGCGCATTTCTTTTTCTTGTTGTTTTTTCACTACTATTGTATGTGAAACTGTGTTCCTCCTGCAATGATCCCGAATGAGATTGGCAGTGTTGTAAAATAAATAAATAAATATGATGAGTCAAAAAGTACTCCCTTGTCCAAAGCTACAGACATGCTGTATAACGAAATCGATAGTTGGACAAAAACCTGCCTTGCCAAGAGCAGACTTGAAGACTATTAAAAGAAGATGCTAATTATGATAAAAGCAAATAATAGCAAGAAAGTCGTTTCAGCCCCCGTGCAGGAGCCTAGTTCACATGCGAAAAATCAGTGAGTGCTGATTTTTCAATTCTGGACAAGTCTCTCGTATGGAGGCTGAAACACCTTGCTTTTATTTGCTTTTATCGCAGTCAGCCTCTTGTTTTAATTCTCGTAACGCTAAACAATGACTCAAGTTTGCCCACTCTTTTTCTATCGGGGATCAGGGACAGCAGGATCCAGGTGACTGTTCAGCCCCAACTTTTCCTCCCTGGAGCTTTGGTCTAGCTTCGTATACCTGCTACCACACCTGGCCGCTCCGCAAAACTTTTCACCAAATACCTCAGACCACAATGCATTGTGCATAGCGAATGTCCTCTGTGAACCTCCTTGTGGAGCCAATCACGCCAACAACAGATCTATGCTATCGCAGCGGCGAACTTGTGCTCATCTCTCGCCTGAAGCCGCACTACGGCCCAATAGTTGTTTCTTCACCCTAAGCCACCAGGATGGCACTATTTTCTGCGGGGGGCAATGATAATTAAAAAGAGCAGCCTTAGGAGAATCACTCTGCGCCTCAACAGCACTGCCATCGGCATGAGCTCGTAGTTTCTGTGCTTCACCAGACACAGCTGATCGCTGCCCGTCCTCCCACATTCTCTGCAAATAAATTTCTTAGCGTGTGGTGCTAAGAAAGCTTGCAACTTTGTCTGTCCACTGAAGTTGCAAGCCATTATGCTAAGACATGCCCTAAAACCTTCAATCACTTTTCGTACAGGAGAGCTGAGCTATTGCTACGGCTTAATATAAGCAAAAGCCGCAGCGGCCCCTTGACGATGCTGCGTAGGCATGGTGGTCTGTGAAAAACGAAAGGTAATGTGTCACCCATCTGCACCCCTAGCACTAGGCAAACATTAGGTTCAAAGTGAAATGGAAGTGAATAGCAATTTTAATAAATAAGTCCAAAATGAACTTATGTCACATAGAAAAATGAGCATATTTGCCGTTACCTTACTAACCTGCACCATATTCTTAAATTTGGAAACAAAGCATGTGCGAATGTCCTTATTTTTTGGCTCAAAGGAAAGTGGAAGCAACTTGGAATAGTAGCAGGATTTGATTTTTGGTAGAATTCAACCTATAAAATATGTTATTTTGAAATTGACTATACTTAACAGTATATAAGCAAGTATAACTAAATTTTAAGCTTAAAGAAAAAAATATTCACACCATCTTCCCAAAGGGAATCCTAATGGGATGCGAAGCAGCAGCGCTGAGCACGGCTAGTGTCAAGGGTTGACTGGCGCTAACACGTGTGCTAAGTTTTGCGAGCGGTGAAGAGAATGAAGCGAGAGAGATGTGCCACATACAGACATGTTTCAATTCGTAAGTTAGGTGTGCATCAAGTTTATTGCGCATAAACCGAAGAGTCCAGCGGTGTAGCGAGCCGTAGTAGCGGCAGGTGTTGAGGAGGAACAGATGAGGCAGCAGCTGCGGGTGCTGCAGCAAGTGCGCGGCAGGCGTGGGAAAGAGTGATGTTAGCAAGCACTGCAAGGGGAGTGTGACGTCAAGACGCAAGTGTGGCGTAATCTACTTGGCACCGCTCCAACACCTGTGGCAAATAGAGCGCGTTACGGCACGTTCCTACGAACGCATAGAGAGACAGCGTTACACAAGCTAGTTAAAGAGCTGCTTCGCATCTAAAAGACGAATCAATGTGAGAGTAATAGTATATTCAATTAACGTTTGAGGGGGGCTTCATGGCTGTGCAGAAATCCCTTGGATAGATGTTTCTTGGCATAGCAGTCCTAAACGGCAGTGAAATCACCGTTACAAGAAGTGACATGCAGTTTATGTCAATTTGTTCATTTCGAATGCTGAAATTTCAAATAATTTATATTAGTGTCGAAGCGAATTCAACTACTGTAATACTCATTCGAATATTTGCACACAACTATCTGCACCTACAGTTGGCACCACACTCTAGGAAGTACACTAACGGTGCCTTTGTGAGAGAAATAAAACTGTTGCACCTACTTTGTTTGGGCAGCCGACTACTGTAATTCTCATTTGAATATTTGCACGCACCTATTTGCACCCACAGTTCGCATCACACTTAAGGGGCTGCACTCCCGGTGCCATTGCGGGAGAAATTAAATTGTTGCACCTGCTTCATTCGGGCAGTCAGTTGTGGACGTGTGCACTTTTATGCGAAATATTGTGAAGAAAGAAACAAATGATGCCGTGAGGATCAAAAAAGGCCCTCACATGCTGCTTGTCCTTGTGGTGCTTCTTTCGTAATCCCTCGAGCTCTTTCATCTGCTTGCGACGCAGCTTGATGTACTCTTTCTCTGCCCGCAGTGCCTCAGCCGTGATGGCTTCCACCCGCCACTCCTCTGCAAAAAGGTCGTGCAAGATGCTTAAGCTGATATTTCAGTATACTGTATTTTTGGATCCATCTGAAAAACAAGGACACATTTACACACACTAAACCGCATACACAACAAATAAACCTAAGTTGCTAGAGCTCTTTTGTTGATAATTTTGGGTGGCTGTGTCCTTATTTTTGGCGTAGCAGTCCTAAACTGCAAGTGAAATCACCACCAGTGAGAGTTACATGTAGTTTATATATGTTTATTCATTTGTTAAGAATTCTGAGGTTTCAAATAATTTAAATTTATTTTGAAGTGATTTCACATAAGTGAATCTTAAAATTTTGAGATCTGAACTATAAAAGTATGAATGGCGATAAATTTGGTAAACTTGCACATATTTTCCATGGCTGCTACAATGCATTTATGGGTGACGTATTGAAGTGACAACAAAAATAAGGAACAGTAAACAACAAACACAAAAAAGTAGGTTATAGAAGTTCAATTTGCATTTATTTTAGAAGAAACTGCTGATGAGTATTGGGAGAAGTAATACAAAACTGCCTCCTTTCTGAAAAGGGCTGCTCTCATAATGAAGCTGTAAAGAAAGGATCCTTACCAAAACAGGGTTGCAGGAAGACAGAAATACGATTTGAAGCAATTTTTCATGGCAGAGAAATGTTGCTTCTCGAGAAGAAAAACACAACTTTGTACCAGGTTACGAAGAAAAAACCAGCATTTTTCAGCACCAGATCTCCAATTTGGAGAGTATAACAAAGAGAGCTGACTTTAAGAACAAGAATTTTGCCATGAGCTTATTGTGCATGTGAGTTCTATTACGTCTACAAAAGCAGTGTGTTGGATCACACGAGAGGGCGATCAATGACCAGATCCGCATAGAGCACTTGCACTGCCTGTCAAATGCATACCTGCCAGCCTGGCAACTTCAAAATTCAAGAAATTTATAAAGCAAGGGCATAGGAGGTGGCAAAATAAAACACATATGAACTGGCACCCGATTGTATCTATTATTTCTCAGGGCCACGGTAATGTCACAAAAAGATATGAATGAATGTTGGTGAATTTTATAGACACCAATGATTACACAAGTATTCATATTTATATCGTTAGTGAAGGCATCTGTTTTTAAAGAACAAAATGTGCTATGTCTCAAAGCAGCTACGCTTGGACACTAATAAAGAAAAGAAACAGCCATCATAGACCCCCCTCTCCAGCCAGCAGCGTCGTCGTGTTCACGAGAGAATCACAATCCAGTGGGTCAAAGCATGTCACGAAGTGACACTGGCTAGTAGAGGTGTCCTTCGGCAGAAAAAAGCTACTTTTCTGCTTTTTTTTTCTTGAGCTGTATCTGAGTATAACAGCCCAACCAAATCTCAGTATGCTTTTTCACACGATCCTAGTGTATCTCAAAGAAAGTCACTTAAATGTTTGCATGTGAGAGAACAAGGCCAGAAAATTTTAGAACCTTTGCCCTGTATTCTTTCCTTTCATGACCCTGTATTCTTTCCTTTCGTGACATGGTTAGGGTTGTTTTTTGGAGAGATATGGCCATGCCTGTGATAGTGAGCATGTTGCTCAGAATTTAGATGCCACTCAGGCAAACTGAGATAGTTCGCAGGCATGCCGTTGGCCAACGTTCTCTTTTTTTCGAACACCCTGATGGCACAGTGTCAACATGCTTTATGCGTAGCTTCCCCTGTAATCTTTGAATGTCCATGTAGAGCAGTGTTGCAGCCTGCCAGACAAAGGCACCCACTACAAAATATGCCCACACTTTTTCTGTGCAATTGTCTGTGGACTAGAATGAATGATGATGTTTGAAATGCAGGTGGCTAATATATCCTTTGGTGCATTCATGTTGTACAATTGCCCGCCGCGGTGGTCTAGCGACTCAAGTACTTGGCTGCTGATCCCGCAGGTCACGGGATGAAATCCCAGCTGCAGCAGCTACATTTTCAATGAAGGCGAAAATGCTGTAGGCACATGTGCTCAGATTAGGGTGCACGTTAAAGAAACCCAGGTGGTCGAAATTTCCGGAGCCCTCTACTGCAGTGTCTCTCATAATCATATGGTGGTTTTGGGACGTTAAACCCCCTGTATCTATCAATCAATGTTGCACAATTGGTGCAGCATGATGCAATTTCAAAAAACTTCATGGTGTTTGCAATGAAGAAAATCGAAGAAAACGTACCCCTATCACCACCGATGATGTCCTCACAGCTTTTCCTGCTTTCGGAACGTTAAGCCTCCTCCGCTCCCCACTGACCATGAAAGATGGTATTTGACAAGTTGGTTGGCATGGGTCTCTTCACAAGCTTTCCCAGTCTGTGGGTAGAAGGGCTTGAGTGTATTTGCACCCACATGTCTGCAGATGTGGAATGCACTATTTTGCCTTGGTGAGATGAGATGCCTTTTGCAGCGTCACTGAGTACGTGGGTTTCACGGTGACCTTTTTCCAATGTCATGGCTCAGTCTCACTGATCATAGTGCTGCCTCTGGACCCACCAAGCATGTTGCTGGTGCTGCCGTGCAGTATCCATGATCTCTGCCAAACAGGACTTATGTTCTGCAGCAAATGCATGAGATGCCGATGCGGCAGGCTCAGCATCTGGCTTGTCTTCAGTGGGTTGCCACAAGGTTCGGAGCTCACGGCGACAGTAGAGGAGGGCTGGGTGTATTCAGTAGCAGCACTTATGTCAGTTCACATTGCAAAAGCAATCCCACAGATGTGTTGGTCCCAGCTTCTGTGGGCATGAAGTTCACACAAAGGCACTACTTCACGGTGCCATTGTGCTGCTCAACCATCTGTTCAGCTGACTTGTAGGGCAGTATGAAGGTCCAAACACTTCCTTTGCCTAAGCAGATTCTTCCATAACCTATCAAAAGGGCTTCCTTTTATCGCTAGAAAGAGCAAGAGATACCCAATGTCTGTAGGTGAACTTTTCCACACAGCTGGCTATTTGCTGTGTTGTTGCTGCCCAAGGAGGGAAGAGCTCAATGAATTTGGTGAATTTGTCAACAATGACCAGCTAATGCTTGTGCCCCTGAAGGCTCATACATAACAGTCCCATCAACTCAGCACTAAATTATTATACTGGTGCTGCAGGCCATTGGCTTGCCTTATAGGGCCCCTGAACCGCCGATGGACGCTTGCGTGCTCCTCTCTGTGCGTTTCCCCTAACAGCTGGCATAACATCAACTGATGCTGTGTGCAATACAAATGACGCAGTATACAAGGGATGCTCTCATTGGGCGAAAGAAAGCCTGTTTTCTGCTAGCAGATGCACGTGCTTGTTGCGTTTCCATCACAGACCTCGAGGAAGGGCACTAGAAGAGGTGATCAAATAAGCCGATGAATGCAGCCTAGCGAAACAAAGAGCAAAACAAAGAAATCCGCAAAACTCTACCAGCATTTACTGCAAACTCATACACAACTGCAACTCCATCAGAATTTTGGCCTCTTGGTGGTTCAAGGGTTGTTTATGTCCCTGGGATTCACAACGCTGTGATTTCGTTCTTTGACAGACCAAGAAACCATGGACATACTTGAACATGTCGTTGCTCATGCCTAACCACATAAACTTCCCTCTGATATGCCACAGTGTCTTATAGAATTCTGCATGAGCACTTGTTAGGTGGTCATGTGCCATTTGCAGGACCAAGGGGCAAAGGTGAGTAGGCAAGTACGCTACAGCATGGTCGCTGCGACATTGTACCAAAAGTTCTGATGACTTTGGATGGGACGTGGGTGCCAGGTCTTCCACACAATAAGTTTCAACAGTGTCTTTCTGCAGGTATTCTCCCTCGATAGTGCTCTATGTCACACAAAAGACCATCAGATTGTTCTTCCTGTGCTAGTTTTTTCACACTAGATAAAACACAGATCCTCAGTGGTGGTCAGAAGGCAGCTGTCAAACATGACAGAGCCTACATCAGTGCCCAACTTGAGAGGCAAAAGGCTCCGAGGCAGGCTGTCAACTGCTGTCTTGAGTCTGGCTCAGCAAGTTCCAGGCTTGGGACATCAGCAGGGATGTTGGCCTTCCCGTGACAGTGCTAAATTATGCACTGAAACCCTTGAAGGCATAGCACCCAGCGCCACACACGAGGAGTGGCCTGCTCAGCAGTGAACATCCCGGCCAATGACACTATGATCACAGTGCCCTTCACATTCTGTCTATTCCAAACGAGATGTAATGTCTCCACAGCCCATACAAAGGCCAAACACTACCACTCCTGGACTGTGCAATTACGCTCCAAATTCGACAAGCCTCTCCTGATGAATGAAACTGGCTTCAAAATGTTATCTTGACACTGGAGCAGTGCAGCTATACCAACAATACTGGCATCTTGCCATCTGTTTCAACTACAAATGGTGTGTGGTTCAGAACTGCATCTGTTGCCAGCACTGCTCGGAGAGTTGCAAAAGACCGTTCTTCAATGCTTGTTCCCTGCCATTTCTGTTGCTGCTTGATCAAGTTGGTCAATGGCTTAGTAGCGAAAGAAAATTGTGGAAGAAAGTTCTGTAATTTCAGTCAAGACCAGAAATGCCTGCAGTTGCTTCATGTTGGATGGTCATGGGTACCGTGCCCCTGCACCCACCTTCTCTGGGTCTGGTCAGTACTCCCCTGAAGAAACAACATGATCAAGGTGTTACAATGTTGGCTCAAATGCAGCGCACCTACGCGAGGCTGATAGTTGTGTTGAGCTGTGTAAGCCTGGCACAGTGGGAGGGGGGGGGGGGGGGGTGTGTGACCATTTTGGAAGCAATAAAAACAGTTCGTTCTGGGCAAAGGGCTCAACATGTTCTCATGTTCTTTGCAGGCCTGATGGCCTACTGTTCACGGTAGTCAGTATCACCTGATTCTACACATGTAACAACTGGCGATGAGCATGAAAGAAAGTTTCATGTGTCTTCGTTCCCGCACCGCTCTGCCATCTGTTCAACATGCCAAGTTTCGGCAACCTCGAGCCGTTCGAAAAGGGAGGAGACGACTGGCCCTGTT